TAAGGGGTTTAACATGCTTGCTATAATCCCGAATGAACCATTGGTAAAAGTTGCAGAAACCAAGAAAAGACTGTAGTTCCTGTTTCTTGGATGGTACGGGCCAGTCCAGGAGACCCACGATCTTTACCGGGTCCATCCGGATCTTCCCCTCGCTGATGAGCACCCCTAGGTACTCTGTCTCCTCGACCTCGAACTCACACTTCTCGGCCTTCAGGAACAACTTATTGTCCCTCAGTATCTTCAGCACCTTCCGTACGATGCGTCGGTGGTCCTCCTTGTTTTGTGAGGCGATCAGGATGTCATCCAAATATACCGACACCTCTCCGGCCGCGATGAGGTCTTTGAAGATGTCGTTCATCATCCACTGGAAGGTGGCGGGGGAGTTGGTGAGTCCAAAGAACATCACTAACGGCTTGTAAAGTCCCCGGTTGGTCCTGAACGCGGCTTTCCATTCATCGCCCTGTTTAATCCGAACATTGTTGTATCCCCATCGTACGTCTAACTTAGTGAAGTACTTGGCCTTCTTTAGCCGGTCCATAAGTTCTCCGATGAGCAGGAGTGGGTACCGATTTTTTATGGTCATCTCGTTAAGTTTCCTGTAGTCCTGCACCGGGCGAAGCTTCCCATCCTTTTTCTTGACAAAGAAGAAAGGCGACACCATGGGAGATTTTGAGGCTTGAATACGACTGGTGGAAAGGTTTTCGTCCAAGAACTTGTCCAACTCCTCCTGCTCGGCTGGGTTGAGGGGGTAGACTTTGCAGTCTAGATTGGCATTGGCGTTGGGAACTAATTCAATGGCATGGTCCCAGGGCTTACGTGGTGGTAGTTCGTCAAAGTTTTCCTTGTCGAACACATCCTTGAACTCTCGATATTCCTCTGGTACAATCTCTTCGAAGGATTTAGTCGCCTTTTTGGCGTTGGCCTGGGCGGCTAGTTTGTTAGCTTTAGTCCCCATGGCTCGCACGTGAAAGGCTTCCTCGAAGTCGATTACCAGGATGGTATCTCCTTCCTCATACTCCTCCCATCTCGCCGAGGGATCTGTGTCGGGCAGGGAAAACGGGATCTTCCTGCATGCGCAGCGCGCCAATATGACTGCCCCGGTGTTCCAGTCAATAAGCGGGTTATGCCTCTGCAGCCAATCATGCCCGAGGAAAAGGGGGGTGGTACCAAGGTCGACTACGGCTAGTTCGATCCGTTCCACGTGATCCCCTATTTGTAGCCGTACCTCGGCATACTCGGTTATGTCCCCGCCTTTATTTCTGGTGCCGTCGGCATTGTAGACCGGAACGGGTCGGGTCGCTTTTTTGAGATTGAGGTTGTGACTTCAGGCCCAGGCGCGATCTATGGAACTGCCGGTGGCCCCGCTATCTACTAGCGCTTTTAGGGGATGCGCTTCGTGGGTGTCTAGGGTTTCACATCGTTCCACGGGTTATTGTCCTTCCCCATTGCTAGTGTCCATGGCAGGATGGGGTCCGGGGGCGAGGGTGCCCTGGGTGGTACTGGAGGGTTCGGCAGTCGCGGTAGCGACCGTAGTCGATAGTTCTCCCTGGGCGGTGGGTAACTGCCCAGGTACACTGGTCTGGATGGAGGCTGAGGCGGCGGCTGAGTCGGGACCGTGGACTGCTTCCCCTTGTCTGAGGGTCCAGCGCCTGGGTCATCCATATCGTCGTCCTCGGGCCCTGCCCCAGCCCAGAACGCTTCGGTCTCGAGCGGGTTGGGCATCGGTTGGGGTCGTCGATAGGGCTCACAACCTCGTTGTTTGGCGTCGGGATGTACCTGATTCCATACAACGGCGGCCCTATGCCACGTCTCTACTTCCAAGATATTTTTCATGAGGTAAACATCCCCCATGGATTTTGCGTATAGGTAGTCCTCCCCTGCCTCCATGAGGAGCCACTGTGAATCTTTCTCCATGTCTTCCATCATTATTTCGTAAAGCCCATGCCATGGTAAGATATTAAAGATTGTTGGAACCGGAGCCGCGGGGTCGACCAGAACTGTTCGAACCGCCCCCATTACCTCGACCTTGAGGGAACTGTTTGGGGGTCGACTCGGCATCCTTGGCCTCCTCCCTCTCTCGGGCGATTCTGTCGATCTCCTTGTTCCTCTTCCACCTCCCGATGTCGGAATTGGGGTCGCTGATCTCGGACTCGTAAGCTTGCCAGGCTCTTCGTCTGGCCTCGAGGTCAGTTCCCGCCTGCTTGGTGAGCCCTGTGTATCGGAGGGCAGCGGCTCGTTGTCGATTCTCGATTTCAGCGTGAGTGGCGTCTGGCTCGACGGGGAGGTCATGGAAGCCGTTGGGCCCGATGAGGGCGGCGATCTCGGCTCGTCGAGTGCGTAGGTCTGCCGCTCTTGCTCGGTCCATTCGGGCCTCAACTTCTGGGGACTCCCGGGCATCTCGAGGGAGGTCGAGCGACTCGACGAGCATGTGGTAGAGAAGCATCCATGGACGCTGGAGGATAGGGACAGGGTCGGCGAATGCTCACCCCAAGACCGACGGAGTAAAGGGGATTGGGGCGAGGTCCCCGGCCCCGGCAATTGCTCCAAGTTCCTCGGAGTCGTAGTCTGGGAACTCCTCCCAGAGCTGCTGATCTGTCAGTTCAGACCTGGCGATGGTGGCAGCAGGTGTTGAGGTCTCTGGATGCCCAGGGATAAGGAGGCTCCTCGGGGGCGACTCTCGGGCCATAGGAGCTTCTTCCCTTGGCTCGGCATAGACCCAGCTGGTGCTGGGGTGCCAGCCGATTGGGGGTCCCCGGTCTGTCGGCCAATTAGGAAGAACGGGTCCTGCTCCATCTGAACGGGAGGTAGTCGCGGCGGAGGCCCCAAGGGCAAGCTCTCCGGAATCGCTGTCGTAGTCGTCTTCCTGAGCGACTCGGTATCTCCTGCTTTCACTCTTCCATACGTCATCTGTCCACCTTGTTCCTGACCTTCCACTGTAGTTGTCTCCGGTATTGGTCGCATCTTCCTCCTCGTTCGGGTAGAGGTCGTTGAGGAGGTCGTCGAGTCTTGTCCTTTCCCACTCTGCGAGGTCATCCCCTTCGTACTCGGTGTCAGGGCTTTCTTCGCCCTCGTCCAGAGGCCTGGTGTCTTGTCCTCGGCCTCGGTCGGTACCTGACTCGCCTTGGACTGGAGACTGGTTGAAGAGACCTGGTACGGGCGAGTCTCCTCGGTCGAGGAGTATGCCCCGGGTATCGGTGATGTCGACTGAGTCGGCTGATCCACTGGTAACGCTTCTGTAGGAGTCGGTGCTCGACTCTGAGGATCGCGAGCTGGGTCACGACGATCCGTAGAGGGATCCTCCAGACCCCCCGGAGACGTTGGATTCGACATCTTGTATCATCTGTTGGGATGCCATGGGAATGTGGATCACTGGAGGAGGGTATGCGGGAGTGCTGGGAACGTAATGAAAGGGGAGTTGTGCACGGACTCGCCTCTGTTGTCGGAAACAGCGGTGTAGCCGGTACAAAATAATGGACAAGAAAAAGAGTATAAAAGTCGCGAAGACGGCGGGAATGGCATCGGACCAGGGCATCCGTGATTGGATCTATCCTTGGTGTAAGTCGACGATTGACCATGCAAGCTGATAGACAGCGAGGATGGTGAGTACGATGAGAATGGCGATAATCAAGCTGAGGTCGGTTTCGTAGTTAGAACCGTTCATCAACAAGATTTCGGTAGTGTCGGAAGTGCTCATTATTGTTAACAAAGAAGCGAGCTGAAGGAGTAGGGAGTAGGGATTCGTCTTCAAATTCGTAGAAGACCAACATAGGTCGCTACAAGCAGGGCTGCTAGTAGTGGTGCCGGGATGGTCGCTAGAACGAAGAGGGTAGTCACGAGGACTATGAGAACGACAGTAAGGATTGGGTCAGGTAGCATGAGTGGAAGGATCCAGTCGGCCACCAAGAGTATGATGATAAAGAAGTAAATGTTGGGCAGCGTCCGCTTTCTGATGTGGCGCTGGGCAACGTAGGACGAGCTTCGGCTAAATGTTAGCCACTAACTCTATCGACTTAGATCATACTAGGATCCCTACTCGCACTTCGGTAGGAGATGCTCTAGCAAGTCAAAGGCGATGAAAGTCGATGGGACAGATAGTCACGAAGGACGGAGTTCGATGTTAGGTAGATTAAACCTTAGCCGAAGCTGGGGTTTAGACCAGCTGAGGCTCTACTTAAATACAAGTGGATATGTTAATAATAGTACTGTGAGAAATGATCCGTAGGGATCGCATATGAGTAATCACGCTGAGTAAAACGAAGAAAAATGAATAAACAATAAACCGTAACACCTCTTTTGAAGCAGAGGCAGGGATATCATCCATGGTGTAGGTTCGGTTGTTGGCCGTGGAGTTGTGGCTGGTTTCTGGAGGAACAGTGAAAGTAGAAGACATGGTTAGGAAGAAATTTCGACTCAAGGGTTTGAGTTCGAATATACTGTTAGGATCATGCCAATAGGATTGCGGCAGTAAGTGCACGTAGCGGAATGCCATGGGATGCGTCAGGCATAGGCAAAGCTATTAGCAATGTCACCCCTGAGCCGAAGCCCTAAGATGGATACGGATGGAAGTCCACAGAGTGGCAGAGACGAGGTAAAAGATAAGTCCAACGGATCGGAGTTCCGCGGACTGGAGAACGAGAGTTAGACTTAGAGTCAGAGAGAGAGAGAGATTGGGCTGAACCAAGTTGATATTCGAACTGAGTATCTACAGTGTAATTCTAAGGCTTATATACTAGTTAGGAGTCCGATCTAGTTCCTACTTGGAGTGGTCTACATTCTAGGGTTGTCGGAGGATGTATTCTACCGGTCGGTAGCTGATGGGGTCCAATGACATGTTCGCTACCGATGTCAGGCTATTGATAAATTGTAATGGAGAAGTGAAATATAAAATGGAATATGAAATGGAATATGAAATAGAAACTGGGAATCGGAATCCGTAGGATTCTGGGCTGTGGTTTGTTGGGTTGAGTGGAAGTCGGGTTTCCATCGGCATGCTCATTACACCAGGTCACATCTCTTTAGTTTACCACCACCATCTGTACCATCGTCTCATGAATACCGAGCTGGTTCCTTGCACATCTGTGTGAATGAGTTCTTCAGTGTAGCTCCGTGGCTATGAGCTTCCATAAATGTATGCTGTTTATGGTCTCCAACAAAGATGCAAATCGGTGTATCACAGGCAAATAGTCACTGACTTCAATCTGACTTGCCTCGTTGAAGATGATTGTTTGGACTGGCACTATCTGAGCAATAGTGGACATCCTGTCGTTGGACAGCATACTGAGGGTGCACAGTATGATGCATGAATCTAGAAGCAGCCTTTCCATAGCCACTCTGTCGCCGATGAAATCATCCGAATGGATGAGGTTGGGCTCTATCAATCTATACAAGTGCTCATGCCTATAGGAAATTAGGAATGTGACCAAGTGAAGAGTTTCAACATTCAAGAAAAGAGTCACTCACCAGTCATAATGGAAGTCTTTCAAGACGAGAATCTTGAACCCTGAGAATTCAATCGATGCCAGCTTCTCTGCAATGTTCTTGACAGCAATGTTGGAATGTGCTACAAGCCATAGTGTCCAATTCCGGTCAGTGGATGTGACTATACTCGTGACTGCAGCTGCTATGACAGTCGTCTTCCCTGTACCCAGGGGCCCTTGAATCACGGTGACCCTATCGGCATTACGGTTTGAAAGAATGAGATTGACTGCGCAACACTGAGAGTTGTTCAATGGGCCTGGGAAGTTGATGGTAATGCTGCGAGTAAAAGATGGGAGGGTAGCCCAGGATATTTCTGATCATGGGAACCAGAGCGCTTGGATGAACGGGTGGTCGAGGATAACAGATGACTGTTGTAGAGCAGCGAGAACTATCATAGCTCTAGCCTGCTCAGCTTGAGTTGGATCTTCTCTACCTATAGTTGTAACTTTGAGGGGAGCTTGGGTTGACAAGTAGCTCTGAATTGCGATCATTGCAGCACGTCCATCAACTCTAAGGACATGGCCAGGACTAGTCTTGGGTTGACCATTCAGATCAGAGGATGAGATTTCCATGGTCTGCATGCTTGAGATCAAAGGAAGAATGTGTGTGGACTGAAGCACTACCCACCTGTGCACCTGACTTTCTGACTCGATTCTTGAATCTAGCAGAAGAAACATTCAGTTTGCCGGACTTGTGGCTGAACACTGCTTCAACCTCGTTGTGCATTCTGAGAGGCTTCAAATCTGTCAGACGGTGCACGTGTCGATTAATCTTTGCCAGAACCATTAAGTGCTATGACAACATAATTCAGCATGGTTCATCACATTAACAACAAAGTCCTTACTGCTTGATCGAAGTTCAGCATAGAGATCTTTGGAGTGTCGCTTGCGGTCACCATGTGGTCAAGCATCACAGCACAGCATGCTGACCATGCTTGTAAAGTGGTGTGCTTTTCAAGCGTCTGACTGCTTTCCTCCTGCTGAAATAGAGCCACAATGTTCTCACAATGGAGCTGGCTGTGATAGCTTTTGCCACCCAAGGCGACGAGAACTGACTCAAAGGATTGTCGGTTAGACTGAAGGTCCAATAGGTCTACACCATTGACGATAGGCAAATTAAGGTCAAGTATGAGCGATAGTGCTATATTGTCCATGCGAAAGGCATATTTCGGATAAGGGCTGCACAGAACAATATATTCCAGCAAGTCTAGGGTGGGGTGCTTTGCTGAAGCAGGAAGATTCCCCCCTCCCTTTCTCTGTCTTGGAAAGTCGATGATCATAACGTGGGTCAAAGATGCAAAAGCGACAGTGGATAGTGCACATTTGGAGCCATAGACAGGTGCTATTCCAAGATGACCAGTTGTAGCTACAGAAGCCATGAAATAGTGTAGTGTCACTGCTCTCAAGGCATTCGCATTGTGACAAGAGACAATAATTGGACAATGAGGAGCAGTGTAGATGTCCTGGTGGAGGGCAAAACTGGGGCATTGGGTATCCATGCTGGAGGTGGTAGGAAGGAAGGGGAAGGCAGGCAGGCAACAATGCTGTTGATCAATTTAAGAATGACATCAGCCATTAGGCACCATCCAATGCAGTTATCAGGCAGTGCCTTCTTTGTGACTCGAGCACCTGAAGGGCTAGCATAATCATTTGGGGTCCAACAGAGGAGAATATGTGCTGAAAATCGAAGTTTTGCAGCACATAATGATGGATTGGAAGAAAGCTGCGAGCAAAGGTAAGCGAACCGGTCAGGGTTCCCAAAAAGGCAGTTAAATGTCTTCAGACTCTTCACTGACTCGGACCGGTCTACCACACCTGTCCTTTTGCCCACCATTACCCTCATGACGTTCATGGAGCACCCGTGGCACATACATCCAGGTCAGCACAATAGGAGACTTTTATCAGTTTGGGTACTAATGTGTAGCTCAACAGCAACTGCAACCACAACTTGATGACCTTTGACGACATTAATTTGTTGTGGACTTAGCAGCAACTGGCTCTCATGATGTCGCATCTTTGATCTACTTGCAAGAAGAGAAGATTCACGTTGCGTATTGGTCTTTACATGTCACAGAACACTTTGGTTGATGAGTGGGAGCATGAGATGGCAGCAAGTCTACGTGAAAAGCAAATACTAGGCCATCTCAGCAAGGTCTCGTGCTTGTAAGTGGCTGTCTTCTCAATTGCACTGTTTTTATCACCTTGAATAGTACAAAGCGCTAGTGCTGGACAAACACTCTAATCAGAGCCTAGACTCTGAGCTGGTCATCAGCGTGACTTCTTAATGCGTTGCATAGATTCCCTCACCACAACCTCAATATTCCCAGACACTTCCAGGATCTGCAGTGAAACCACTAAGAAGGAAAATACAGCACCACCATCCTTGAAGGAAGAGGATGACAAAACTGTTGAAGGCCTACCTGAGGACTACGAAAGTTGGAGAGGACTAGACCACAACGCGTATGCAACAGTATGGAGTAAATTTAAGGGGTTTTTAACTGAGTGTGGATATTGACTATGGGGAGGCTATAGTGTCCATTCACTACAAAAATTCTCTATAACTATAGTGGAGTGACTTTTGTAAAAATCCCTATAACTATAGTAATGTCAAATTATACGTATCTTGTAGGGATGCCATCACTTTTTGATTCCTAATTATACGTATCCCTTGTAGCAGTCTCGCCAGTGCTAGCTAGATCCAGAAACTGTTGCCATATGGCTGCCAAGTTAGGGTCCACAGGTACTGGATCGGTGTTCGTTGCTTAGGCCCGAAAAAAAAAATTGCAGCCCAGAAAAATAATATTTAATGATTTACTATTGCCTCCCGACCCACGTGCAGCCTATTTTGGCTGGATGTGCCCGTGTGTACTTAGACATATAAAACTGTGGGAAAATATCATTCCCAATGCGGTAGCAGCTCTGTTGGCTTTGAAAGCTGGGTAAAATTCTGCATTGCACACAGATTATTTAGGCTCGGTTTAATTAGAATACATTTATGTGATATATAAATGCTTAATAGAGTGCAAATACTGTCATTCAACTGATATGCAAACAGGAAAATGCCACTCTCACCATGGTCAGAATTTGCCGGATGCACCCCAATTAGGGGCATAGGATAGAATACCCTTGCAATCCCATACTCCTAGGGCTTTCTGTACCTCGAAAATATGATAGTCATATCTACATTTCATGATTTTACATTTTAGGCCGATAAATTAGCCTTTAATTCATGTTTATTTGACCAATAAATGCAAATAATGATGAGACAATTGTTGAATTCAACTTTTACAAAAGTATGCAGCACAATGTGCATCTAAATAATGATATAACAAATGAGAAAAAGACTTCTTATGTGAATTATCAATGATACAAATGCATATATGGATCTGCCCTGAAGTGAATATATTATGAACACTTGTAGTATGCAAAACAAGCTTGTGAACTTTCGTCTGATTCTGTTTTCACTTATGCATGAAACAGTATAATGGTGAGACTATAAGCAGATCGGGGTGGATCGGACCATTATTTTGACTTATACTAGACATAACCTTGCATTTTCAACAAAAAACACACCTATTGAGATGGTGCACAGATATATAGAACTGGTATTTGCTTACAAGTGCCCTAAAATGTGGGGCAACCAATGTAAATTGAGGATTATCATGAGATGAGGGTATCCTGTTGCATTAAAAATTATATACACACAATCCTTATACCTATAATACAAGATTCCGATATGCTTTGTGGCATTGGAGAGTGTACATCAAGCAGTGGAAGCATCCCGATGATGGATTCCGCTCGGTCAGTCACCCCAGACCGCACAACCATACTGTGATTGAGTGGCTGTGCAGCACCATTTTCTGTTCCTCTCCACCACGTCCACTTCCTTTCCTGCCCTCTTGCTCATCTGTTTTGCCCATTGTCATGGGTATATGGTACGTTTGAATTGTTTTTTATACTGACATGTCAAATTTAGGTCTTTTTGGTGTATCCGGTGGCCCCAAGATCCCTGGGTAGTGACCATTTCATCCCCACCCCATGCATAAGCCCTCACCCGAGGCAGCACTGCCAGATATGACTGCAACACTGTACGTTGACGACATGACCCATGCACCCCTGCCATTGCCCCGATACGACTCATATTCTGCCACGACCCATCCCATGCCCCCACACACACATCAACCTCGATCGTCATTGGACACACAAGCGCAGCACAATGATGACACAGGATATCACTAGGGTTTCCATATTGGACCTCATCACGCAGCGGGACAGCACCTGTAACAGTGACAACCACAATGACAATGACGATGGAAAAGCCAGGAGACTTCAAGCATGATGAGGGTTAGGGTGGATCTTAGGCTAGGGATGTAGAGGGAGACTGGGCAGCATACTGAGGAGGAAGGGGGAGGGCAGGAGGGCAGGATGGAGACCGAGCTGCCAATGTCCAATGACAGCAGCGACACTGACATCCATTTGGGCGTCAAATGTCCTCCAAGACATGGAGGATTCAATGGTGGTCTCCATTTTCTCTCATGAGCCCACCATGACATTCATTAGTGCTATCGATCCCTAAATCGCTCTCTAGCCCATGCTGCCTATATGTTAATTTATTTTTGTATTATATAGTATTTTATATTTATTTATTTGTTTTACAATGCTTTAATTATGAATACTAAATATTTTATTACTGATACCCATAAATAGGGAGTGCAAGAGGGGCAAACCCGAGGCAGGAATTGGTTGGGCACGTGGTGGAGAGAGACCAAGAAATGGATTGCATGTGAAAATTCATGGCTACATATAACTTTGCTTTCTAGCGGATACATGAATTTGACAGGCCTATAGTTATAGGGATTATTACAAAAGTGGTTCCACTATAGTTATAGGGATTTTTACATAGAATGGACACGAAGGGATGCTATGGGATGAAAGTATTGGGAGGAACCTTTACACCGATCTGGAGGATGAGCCATAATATGCAACGAATTCAAATTCCTGAGACTGTCATCTATCAAAAATACTCTTCTACATGAATTCAGAGCTTTCGTATGTCCCAACCTAATTCCGGCTTATACATGCTTATTTCCTTGTAGAATGGACTCATGAATGCCTGTTACTGTTCTCGAGGCGGCGACAAGCTCGTTCGAGTTATGGTTCACAAAAACGTGGGCTAAATGACCTGCATATTGTCAGGTTGCTATCCAGGTCTCGGCATATCTTGGCCGAGAACAATCACATTTTACCTCTTCTTGATGAGCTTCATTTTGGTGACATCATATTCGGAGTGTTCCCCTTGCTGAAGGGACCTAATCTGTCTGGCGCAATGCATTATGGCTCCTTGAATTCGGTTGATGACATAATGCATTTGCTGCTCCAAGCTTTTGAGGTAAAGCATTATCGTTTTTCTTTCACAGCTTTCTTTGACCAATCATGGACAGGGTGTCATGTATCTGCACAAAAACAGCATCGCGCATCAAGTAGGTTATAGCTGTTTAGTATGTTTTTCCAGCAGTTAACCACCAACAGGATCTCTTTCTAACGAATTTCATTATGGAATGGTACCCCCAAAGTCACAATTACAAGGCGTTCACCGGACCATGGGTGTATATCATCGATTTCGAGACAGCCATACAGTTCTTGAGTGACGAGAAGTTGGAGCATGTGACTAGTACCTTCTCTGTACCAGACCGATCCTGGTACGAGCGCCCTTTGGCTCCAGAACTCGAAATACCTGATGCGGTGTGTTGTCCGTTCCGATTGGATGTGTGGCAGATTGCTATGGATATTCTGTGGTTCAAGGTGACAAAGCACTAAGTACACACAATATGACATTTTGATAATCAACTCATATATAATCGTACAAATTGGCCTAACGCTACCCAATTCCACATGCTTTGGCTCTGAACGTCACAACATTGACAGGGCCTACTGAAATTAGAAACCTATTTTTTGAGGGTTGTATATTTTTTCAATATGGAGAAGGAAAAGATCGGTTCAAGTTATTGGTGGCACAATTACTGATGGTCCTCTGGGGGAGTGTCATCGTTCTCAGCGGGGAAGGCATACTGGAGCACAGTCCTCTTCCCATTATTGATCTTGGTGATGGTGGTGGGCTTGGCAAGTTTGATAACAGAGCTTGAAGCTCTTTGAGAGCCGTCATTGTGGATGATCTCATGGGAGAAACTGTTGCTCTGGCTCAGCCCGTCGAACACCATGGTGCCTCCAGGGGAGTTGAGGTAATAGTTTGCGGACAATCCCTACGAATGATAGCTGGAGCATAAGGAATGTTTAGAAACAGAAGGACTTACCCAATAGTAGTGGCCGTTGTATCTGAATAAGATACATTAGCTTGAGAATGTAAGGGACCGTACAGACCAGAGATCAATCTTTACCTATTTATGAATGTTTGGTATCGGCGAAGCCGATACCCTTATCTACGATAACTATGATTACAAAAGAGTAGTTCTACTTCTTGTACCAGCACACGTAGTTGATCAATATATGTTGGTCATAGCTATGTCATGCACCGCAAGACGTTAGACTCTTTACAGAGAAGGACCATTAACTGTAGGCATAAATTC